AATTCCTGCACTCGTGACGGATGCTGTGTTATACTTGATCTGACCTTTATTCTCGGAGTGGCTGCTTCCTTACCCAGTGTGTTGTTGCCCAGAGCACGCGTTTCTCAAGAGCATTCATTTTTGCCGTTCTGTCTCATCTCAGTCTTCCAGTGAGTTCTTTGCAGCCAACTCTTGCCTATCCCTGGTCCGTTGTCCACCCAGCCGCTCGTGTCTGTGTACACATTTACTCTGGTCACATTCTTCCCCCACTAAAATCCTTCAGTGACATTTCGGATAAACCAGATCCTTAGCATGGCCCAGGAGGCTCGGTGTGGCTGGACCCTAGGTCACTTCTCCAGCTTTTCCATCTGACACTCGGACTGCTTTGTAGGACCAGTGATGAGACCAACCCCAGCTTCTCCTAATTGTGCTCTTTCCCTCCTATGTGCCTTCTTGGCTTAGGGGACAACTCTGGCCCTATCCACCTGACATTGCTCATTCATCCTTCAGGCCTTGGGTTAACTGCCCCTTCCCCAGGGAAGTCTAACATCCAGGGTTAGGTCAGATCTTTCTCTTTCTCACTCTCATTGCATCTTGATGTGCTGACATTGCCTACGGAGACTGGCAGCTGAATCAGCCCAAAGACACCTCTTCTTGACCACTGCAATTTAACATATTTGAAGTGAAATGCTTTTATATTTGGGCATTCATCTTCTGATGTCCTTATCCTTTCTTTTTTTTCTCCTGGGTAACTGGCTTTACTCATTTACTGTTCTCTGATTGCTTTGCAATGCTCTGCATAATTGAAATCAATGTATTATTTGTAATTTGTTTGCTTTCTGCTTTCTCTGCTAAACAGTAAGCCCTTTGTGGGTAGTATTCCCAGCCCAGTGCCAAGCACAGGTGAGGTATTCAGTAATTAATTCCTCACCCTCTGGTACAAGACCTAATGCGTAGTAGACAATCACTCAGTGTTTGCTGAACCGAATGTTTGTAAGCCCTGCATTGTGTTCCCACGGCAGTGGCTGCTGTTTTTGACTGTGGGTCCCCTTATCTCTGCCGGTTTTACCATCCCTGGTTAGAAAGCTGTCAACTTTCTATTATGTATTTACTGTGACATCTCATTTTACATTTCATACTTTTGTTCACTTAATTTACATATTAGGTGTTTGAATATGAATATATATATATATATATATAATTCTTAGGTCTGTAGATATTTTTGTTCTTTACAAGAATGGAGCATTCTTGCAGACATGAGACCTCCGTGTGTAAATATTGTTTTATCACTCAACTGATGTAAAGGAACAGATCTCATCATCTGAGGTTTTTTCTCACAATTTTAATGAACTCCCCTGACTACTAAGAGTGGGTTACAAGAATAAGGGCCAATATCTTCGTGTCCCAGTCGAGGAACTTCTGCAAACAGCCCGACTGTCTGGGCGTCTTGCTTGGATTCCTGCTCTGGAAGGCTGCTGTGTGCGCAGAGCTGGGGCGGCAGAGCCTCGGCCCTGAGCTGCACGGCGCCAGGTCGCTGGTGCAGCCGGGCCAATGCAAGGCAACGGAGAGCCACTGGCTGTGCAGGGTGGGTGGGGGGTTACTGGTGAGTTCTTTCCACACAATTCAGTCTGGAGAATGGTCATAGACAAGAGCCCGTCAGTTACAACTATAGTTAAAATTTTGAACTTTAAGCAAACCACTTCCCTCCTGTGTCCTGGCCATGGTGTGGGGAGAAGCCCAGGCCGTGGGAGTGGGGAGGGGCCCCGCGGGGTACCTGGCCGAGAGCGTTCGGAGCGCAGCACCCAGTGCACTGCCCACCGCATCCCAGGGGCTCTCATGGGGGCCTTGGTCGAAAAAGATTATCCAGCAGTACAAAGGAGGTGAAATACTGCTATCGGAGTAACTTTCAAAAAGTAGATTCACTATCAAGTGGGAACTAATATTTACTTTCCATTTCAGCACCAATTTTCATTTCCAGTTTTCTATGATTTGGAGTGTTTTGCCTTTTAATTTCTTGCCAGAAAAGTTAACTTTTAATACTTTTCATCTATGGAAAACATTATGGTGTTACCTCAAAAAATTAAAAATTGAACTTCCATTTGACCCAGTGACCCCACTTCTAGGAACATACCCCAAGAAGCCTGAAACACCAATCAGAAAGAATATATGTACCCCCATGTTCATAGCAGCACTATTTACAATAGCTAAGATCTGGAAACAGCCCAAGTGTCCATCAGTAGACGAATGGATAAAAAGTGGTACATATACACAATGGAGTACTATGCAGCTGTAAGAAAGAAAGATCTCTTATCCTTTGAGACTACATGGAGGGACCTGGAAAGTATTATCCTAAGCGAAACAAGCCAAGTAGAAAAAGACAAATACCACATGATCTCACTTATTTGTGGAATATAATGAACATAACAGTCTGAGGAATAGGGTAGACCCAGAGACATGGAAGTAGGGTACAGACTGACAACCCTCAAAAGAGGGGGTGATGGGGGAGGGAAGAGATAAACCACAGAACTTATATGCATGTGTGCATAACCAATGTACACGGACAACAAAGCCGGGGATGGGGTGTGGGGGATGGGGAGGAAGGTGTCAATGGGGATAAAAAGGAGAAACATCTGTAACAAAAATAAAATAATAAAAAATAAATAAAAAAAATACTTTTCATCAAATAGACAAATTTGTTCCATTCGAGAAACCACCCACCGTGAAGAGGAATGATCAATGGCTTTTCTCCTGGTGCTCTTTCCTGGTGCTGAGAATGTTCTGGCAGAACCTCCGTGGGTCTGAGTGAGCTGCCCCGAGAAGGCCCAGCCTGGGCCCGGGCACCAGCGTGCGGGAGGTAGACCCGTGGCTGGCGGCGTGTCTTGGCAGTGGAATTAGGATGGGGCGGGAGTGCCCTTCTGGGTCTGTAACAATACATCCGTATCGCTTCGACAAACAAAAACGGCATCATTACTACCACCTCGTGCCATTAGGATGGCTACTTGAAAAAAATCCTAGGAGCGAGGAAATCATTATGGTGAAGCTGCGGAGAAATGGAACCCTTGGGCGTGGCTGTGTGGAAAACGGTTTGGCAGATCCTAAAATATTCAAACTCGAGTTCCCATAGGGCCCCGTGTGAGGAAAAACTGGTCATTCCTCCTCCCAGGAGACTTCGTACCGCCAGTGTGTGGGTTCTCCACAGCACGCGTCTCCCCAGTTCTCTGCGGACACCGACTGAGTGTCTCATCCCGCCACCGCCCAGGGTCGGCGCTGACCCACGGAGAGGGCCCGCCCCACGCCACTGCCTCCCCCTCTGGTGCCGATGGCAAGTCCAGGTCACCGCCTGTGCTTTTGGCTGACTGGTTACACACTGAGGGTGATCATGACCCTCTCCGGTCCAGTAATATGTTGGGATATCTCACAGAACTCAGGAAAACAGTTTATTTACTACTGCCAATTTATTACAGAGGAGGGTATTTTAAAGGATGTAAGTTAACTGCGGGATGAAGGATCCGTAGGGCAAGGTTTGGGGGAAGAGGCTCGGAGCTTCCATATTCTTTCTGGGCACCTCTCAGCACCTCTGTGTGTTCACCAGTTTAGAAGCTGGCCAAATCCCAGGGATTTTTATGGGGGCTTCATCGCGTAGTAAATGATAGATTAAATGGCCATTTTTGCCCTGGCCGATTTTGCTCAGTGGTTAGAGCGTTGGCCCACAGTCCAGAGAGACCTGGGTTCGGTTCCTGCTAAAGGCATGTACCTCGGTTGCAGTTTGTCCCTGGCCCTGGTTGGGTCGTGTGGGTGGCAGCCACTCAATGTGTCTCTTTCACGTCGATGTTTCTCTCTCTCTCCCTCTCTCCCACTTTATCTGAACAAAAAATGGAAAAATGTCCTCGGGTGAGGATAAAAAAAAAAAAAAAAGATTGGCCATTCATGATTGAACTCCATCTCCAACCCCTCTCCCTGCCCAGGAAGGGTGGGGGAGGATAGGGCTTAAAGTTCAAATTTTCCAGTCACATGGTTGGTTCCCTTGGCAACTAGCCCCAACATGATGCTGTCCGGGAGCTCCCAGCCCCATCGTCTCACTAGTGTGTAAAAAGATACAGAGATTCTACGGGTGTTTTAGGAGGTGTGTGCCAGGAAATGGGATCAGAGACCAAATATGTATTTCTTATTATCACACCTAGCAATTCTTCTGCTGGGTGCACACCCCAAAGAACTGAACACCAGGGTCAATTTGTACACCTGTGTTAATAGCATTGTTTATAATAGCTCAGACGTGGAAGCAACCCAAGTGTCCATGGAGAGATGAATGAATAAGCACAATGAATCCAAAATGCATCAGCCTTACAAAAGAAGGAAACTCTGGCCCTGGCTGGTTTGGCTCAGGGGTTAGAGAGTTGACCCATGGCCCCAAGGGTCTCGGGTTTGATTCCAGGTCAAGGGCATGTACCTAGGTTGCAGGTTAGATCCCTGTGCGGGAAGCAACCAATCAATGTATCTGTTTCATGTTGATGTTTCTCTCTCTCTCTCTCTCTCTCCCCACCTTCCTGCCTTCCACTCTATCTGAAAATTAATGGAAAAAATCCTTGGGTGAGGATTAACCAAAAAAAAAAGGAAATTCTGACATATGCTACTATATTGATGAAAATGGAGGATAATTATTCCAAGTGAAATAAGCGAGTCACAAAAAGGCAAATAATTCCACTATAAGTGTTACCTAAAGTAGTCAGATTCATAGATTCAGAAAGGAGGAGGATAGTCGTTGGGGGGGGGGGAAGGGGGAAGGGGGAGTTATTTAATGGGTACAGAGTTTCAGTTTTACAAGACGAGTTCTGGAGTTTGGTTGCCCAATAATGTACTCAACCCTGCTGAGCTGTCCCGTTAGGACGGTCGATGTTATGATGTGTATCTTACCATCATTAAAAAATCAGGAAAACAACTGCATCACCACCATCCCACAGTAGGAAGGAGAGAGGGAGGTGTGTGTCTCGCTGAGGGTAACCTGCTCGTTGGGTGTCTTTCAGGCCCGGTGTCTCCCTGACCATGCAGGCGTTCTCCGAGGAGGAGAGGAAGCAGTGGCTGGAAGCGCTGGGTGGAAAAGAAGCTGTAAGAGGAACCGATGGCTGAGTTTTATTTCAAATCCTTGGGCGTTGACTCGTGTTCGTCTTTTATGTCATTTTTATTTTTTAGTATTTAACAAAAGTTCTCTGCTGAAACTGGCGCTTGAATGAATCTTGGGAAGTGTTCAGTATGCTCGTAATTTGGCTGGAGGTAGCAGCCACGCACATAAGACTGGTGCGTCCTTTGTTGTGTATTTTTGATTTCCCATGGCGTTGCCACTCGGATTTGCTTTGCTTGCGGAGGTCGTCTGAATTCTCCGTTTCCTCTTTCCTGCCTGACAGTACGTGGGCGGATCTCCGTGGAGGGAGGCAGGAGACAGGAGGCAGGGCAGGGAATGCTGTAAGTGGCTGCTGGACCAGGCTGCTTGATTCAGCGCTTTGAGGTTTAGCCTAATGGAAGAGTGTATGTGGTGTTCTGCAGCCCTAGTGAAGGGGCCTCTCTGTTCAGATCGGCTTGAGGAATCAAGTGAGGGGTGCAGATCCAGGGGCACCGAAGTTGAGTCTGTCACCTGACCCAGCGCTGCTGGTATTTCAGTGTAACGCAGCCTTTGGGAGGTGAGCATTGAGCAGCTCCTGTGTTGAGTTGGGGATTTAGTGAGGACGTTTATGGAAAACACCATAATGTAAATAAACTCTGCTTAAATAATTGTGGCTGAGGAAGTTGCCAGTGCAGGTACCAGGTGGGCTTCCCTGGAAAGTATTTGCATGATGGCAGGGCTTTACAGAGGCAAGGGCGTGGCTGCAGAGTGGAAGAGGGATCCTACCCAAGAAGCAGAGGTGCCAGAATAGCGCTTAAGAGACGGACAGTGCCACCTGGTGGTGAGGGGCGCTTGTGGGTGAGGGTAAGCAAGCCGGGCTAGGGGCTGGCAGCAGTGTGTGTGGCAGTCCTGATGAGCTGTTTCAAAAGTGAAAACCCACACGATAAGTTTTAGAAGTAGATTCTGTCCAGGAGAGTGTATCACCCTTGTGTGAAAAAAATTAGTGGTCAGATTTCTGTATCTTTATTATATTTATCAGCATTTAGTCCCCGTAGTTTTATTTCTGTCTGTATATTCTTAATTTGTCTTTGCAATTTAGCTGGGAGTCAACAAGAATAGTTAATGAGATTGGAACAGGTTATATTAATCTTCTGCTAAAGACAATGTGCTGCCTAGGACGGGCCTCCCCAGAGAATCATGAAGTGCTTTGCAAAGTGAGTTTGCCTAGAAGAAAATCACATGACTCAGTTCTTGAGAAATAAATCCGTGGCCAAAGGCAGTCTAACCTTGAAGACGTGTACAAGCCCTTCTTTAGAGTAAAGAGCCAAGTAATTGATTCGAGACACACAGATAAAGGCAAGTCTGCAGAAAGAAACAGAGTCATGCACCACATATACGCACCATATATACTAAGGTGGTCCCGTAAAATTATAGTGGAGCTGAAGAATTCCTGTTCTCTATCGGAGCCTTTGTAATGCATTACTCATGCGTTTGTGCAGATGCCTTTGTAAACAAACCTACAGTCCTGTGCTGCCCACAGTGTTCAAGTATAGACTGCTCACAGTGACTGTATGAGGCTACAGCATCTGGGTTTATGTTTGCACAGTAATGATACCGCCTAACGACACATTTCTCAGAACATACCCCTTTTGCTAAGTGGCACATGGCTTTGTTCAGCTATGTACTTAAGTGAAGACAGTTAAGGGACTGTGTCTTTTTTGCAGGTGCTATATATACCTTGCAAATAATGGGGAGGCGCTAGAATTCTTTGAGGCAGCCTGGAATGATCACCTGTTTCAGATGTAGTGATTTAAATTATGGGCCGGAGTCATCTCTTTCTGAATTATGCAAAAACCAGACTTTAGAAATAGTGTTGAAAAAATGCACTTCATCTTACTGATTAAATGCAGCGGTATCTTTGTCCTTACAGAGTTGTCAGGCCGAGCATTTCATATCTGCATGAACTTTCAAGAAGTTGCTTAAGAGTCATGGTCGCTCTACCTTACTTTGCCCCATCGGGGAGAGACAGAGTCGACTGTCTGCATTAGAGCACACGATGGGAATTCACCAGTGTCAGTGTACTTTTTGCATGGTCCTAGCTGTGCCTACTAGACTCATTTCTATTGATTTGTTAAAAATATTGTTTTCTCTTTTTTCTCTCTTGCTAGCTGTACCATAGTTTTAATAGAGCCATCATCCCAAGACCAGAAGAAAGTAAGTGCTCATTTAAAAACTGTCTGCCTCCCTTTTCCATGAATGTCTGCTTTCATTACTGATGCCACACTGTTGCAGGGTGCTCACTCTGTGCACCCTCTCTACACTAGTCCTCTAAATACTGTATGTATTCTGTCTTATCCACAGAGCACCTTAAAATGATCCTGGGCTGTTGTAACCCTTATTGGTTCCCACCTCAGAGCTTATTTTTTTTGAAAGGCTTTCTCTACAAAACCCAACCTATGTTCTCTGTACTTCACTTTGCTATTTATTCTTAGAAGAATAAATGAACACATAAGAGTTTCGGGTACACATCTTTCAACTTCCTGAGTTGTAAGTTCCTGTTGGTGGGAGCTATTTATCAGCCCCCCTGTTTGCAGCCCCCCTCAAGCTCACCCTTGACACCCTTTATCTTTAAAGTCTGAGCATGGCTGTACAAACACTGTATCGTGGCACCTTAGAAAACAACAGTGGCCAAACACATTCGGATATTTTAGGACAGTGATTTTCTCGTGCATTGTATGCACTAGAGGAAAATGAAGTCGTGCTTGGCTCTGTAGTCTGGATTCTTATTGAGATAGACCCAAAATATCAGATTTGCTGGATTCTTTATGAATTTACTTTTGATATCTTTGGAGAAATTAAGATTGCATTTATCACATGTTCACAGTTTGGAAACTTTGTTACATAACACATAGTTTAAAAATGATCATGATGCACGTATCGCTTGAGCCAAAGCTTAATAAAAGACATTCCTTCTAGCTTGGCCCTGGGAATCAACAGCGTGCCTGACTAGGTTGTCAGTGCACCGAGCATCTTCTTAACCTGTTTATGCCTCACCTCCTCCTTCCTCTCTCTCTCCTCTCCCCTCTCTTTCCCTCCTTCCTTCCTTCCTTCCTTCCTTCCTTCCTTCCTTCCTTCCTTCCTTCCTTCCTTCCTTCCTTCCTCCCTCCCTCCCTCCCTCCCTCCCTCCCTCCCTCTTTTCTTCCTCTTTCCTCTTTACCTATTTTCCCCTTTCTCTTTTTTCTCCTTTTCCTTTCTTATTTTTTATAGAGAAATTGGAACATGCCTTTAAAAGAGAAAAGTTTTGCCAAGCAGAAAGAAGAAACACTTGCATTTTCTAAAAGGTTGTGCCTAGTGGATCCTTAAACAGCAAACCACTGCCCCATTTCCCTCATTAAAATCCTCTTCAAGCTCAACATTAAACCTGCAAAGTTTATCTTCGTGGATTGTTCATGCTCTCCCCGCTGAGAGCCACGTTAGTTCTAAATACAGATTAAAGTATTTGCTTGCCCTGTTTCCCTTTGAAACAAGAATGGTCTTTCATGAGGGTGCTCCAACGTGCAGCCTAATCCATAGGCAAGAGTAGGTACCAGAAAAAAAATAAAATTATATTTTCAAAATAATCTTTTCTGCTACATGAATCATCTGTTCTAAATTTCATTGTGAAAACAATAAAATATTAAATGCTTAGAGCTTGGTATAAATATGAAATTCTTTTTGAAGCTCATGACCCAGATAATATTAAAAAAATATATTTCTTAAATATTTTCCCCTAGGTTTTAAAAAACAGTGTGTGTTATTTCTCCAACTGTCAAATAATTTTAAAACCTTCCCTCATATATGACTTTTTAAAACCTTCACTTGTATATGATTTAAAAGAAAAACTGGGCTGTTGTTGGAACTTCGGCAAAATGTATCTTAACTCTTTCCAGATAGCTTCCCCTAAAGATTTTTGTCACTTTCTTTTCTACTGTTTGATATAACTTATATTTATTAATATAAATGTTGTTTTAAATTATACATTTATTGTTAAGTTATTGATATTGATAATAGATGTCCTAGTATTCTGGTAAGCTCTCCTCTGAATGTATGAAATTCTCATTTATATTATTTACATGGGGAATACATGGCCTTTGGCTTTTTTTTTTTTTTTTTTTTTTAAAGGAAAATAAAAATTAAATTGAATTTAAATATTTTTTCCTGTTTTTGTAAGGAAGAGAAAAGTAAGTAATTGATCATGCCCTTGATGTTCTATACTGATGTCTTTCAGGTGCCCAGTTGGATAAGATGGGATTCACAATTCTCAGAAAGTGTATCAGTGCAGTGGAAACACGAGGTAACGTGATTGTCTGAATCATTTTAGTGATGAAAGGAGACAGGTATGTGAAATCGAAGAGTCATTAGAATGCTTATTGCGTGGTTGTGGGTCGTAAAGTGAAATACATTAATGCAAGTGCCCATTCTCTATGTCAGAGATTCAGCTGTTCATTTATTATGATAGGGCGGGATTTTCTTTTTTAACAGTTTTGTTTTAATTAAAATTTTTTTTCTTTATTGATTTTAGAGAGAGGAAGGGGGGGAGAGAGAGAGAGAGAGAGAGGCATTGATGAGAGAGACCATCAATTGGCCACCTCCTGCATGCCCCCCACTGGGGATCGGGCCCACAACCTGGGCATGTGTCCTGGCCGGGACTCAAACCAGTGACCTCTTGGTGCATGGGTTGACGCTCAATCACTGAGCCACAATGGCCAGGCAGGGCAGGATTTTCTTTATTTCACATTCCTCCCCTGCATGGGAAAGTCACCGGATGAACCGGCAGTGCTAGACCAGTCTCTGTCACTTCTTGTTCATGCACTATTGAGATATTCCATTGTCATGTCAGCCTCCACTTAAAAATAAGCTTCACTGATGTCTGATTTACATATAATGCTGTTCACTGATTTTAGCAGTGCAGATTGACGGGTTTTGACAGATGTGCAGGTGTAGAACTACTGCGATCATAGATTGCTCTCTCTCGGAATCCCTTCATGCCTCTTTCCTATTCCTTCCTTGGCCCTTGGCAACCACTGAGCTGCTTGTGATCCCTCTGGTTGTTTTTTTAATAGCATTTTATATAAATGGAATAATGCAGAATACAGTCTTTTGAGCCTAGCTTCTTTCTTTAGCATAATACTTTTGCAAGTCATCTTGTTGGGTGTATTCTGAGCTCATTGTCTTTTTATTGCTAGGTAGTCTCTCACTATGTGGATGGCCAGAATCTGTTTATCCATTCCCAAATGGATAAATATTTGGGTTGCTTCCATTTTAAATGGAAGGGAAGATAATCCTTTCCCCAACCAAAAGCTCACAGGCGTTTTCTTTATAGTACCTAAGGAAAAACAGGCTGTGGCATTTTACAGCCATTCCAGCAGACTTCAGAGAAACTAACTACTGAGCGTGGCAAGCAGGTGTTCTGGAGGTTGAATTTCCTGTGGTTAAAAGACCCAGTGAAGTACGGAAATATTGAATACTTAAATCATTTTCATACATGGCCTACTTTGGATGACTTAGTGAGACATGAAGCATTGCATTCATGTTTTCTGTCAAAACAAGGTCTTTGTCATACGCAGTAGTGCTGGATACGAGCTGTTTTACGATTTGGAGATTTGCCCGTCAGTTACAAAGACCCAGCCACAGTGGCAGTTCAGACTCTGACAGTTTTCCTTCATTTCTGCCTGCACTGAAATTGAGCTGGCAAATTTCTTCATTTTCCTAGTGCTTCAGGAATTTTCAAGCTTTAGACAAATACTGTAATTTTCATCTCTCTCACTTTCTTATTCATATTTGTTTTTCCTGAGCCTCTTGAGAACCTTAATTGTATTACTTGCATACTCATTATTTTGGTCAATTAAATTCTGTCCCAAAAGAAGACATTGTGTATGTACATGCTTTCTCCTGAACAGATAAAAATTCTGTCTAAAACACTTTCGGACTGATATGGGTAGTTTTTGGAATGTTATGTACTTTGAATAGAACATACAAGGTGGGCCAAAAGTAGGTTTAGAATTGTTTGTGTGGGAAATTATAATAATTAATAAATAATAAAAGAATAAATTGTGTTTTTGTATTCACAACTGTAAACCTGTTTTTACCCCACCCTCTATATATTGGAATCTGCATATATTGAATGTATTTTTATTATAAATATATAAGCTGTTGGATGTTTTGAACAGAAGAATAAGTCTACACTTTTAACGTTAGGTTTTCCCATTTAAATATTTAATAAAACATTTTCCCCCCCAAATCCTTTGTTCTCTAAGGGCTTCCATTCCTAAAGCCTTTTGTTTTTAATGGATTAATAGACTAAAAATAGAGTTAAAGAATCAACTGTCGGATCATATTATTAAAGATGATGAGGAACATTAGAGAATCTCTGCGGCGTTTGTGCTAAATTTGGAAGTTCTTGCAAGGAATTTAGTCGCAGTGATTTTCCCCGAATCAGCTATAATGGCTGTTGATATTGTTTTATGCTCGAGATGTTATTGTCTCACTTATTTCATCAGGCAGAATAAAGCTAGTTTATGTTCCTGTAACAAGAAACCCACACGTCTTTGTGTTTTAAAACAACAGGACTTATTTCTCACTCGGGTGTGGGTAGGAGGGCGTTGCTGATCACTGGTACCTGGGCTTGTAGGTCGCAATCACCTTTGCAATGCAGTCGAGTTATAGGTTCCTGGTCGCCGTGCCAGAGGGGAACAGCTCCAGAGCAGCAGATGGATGCTCTGGTTTTGAAGTGAGTTATATCTGCTCACCACTAACTGGTCAGAAATAGCCACATGGCTCCTCTCAACCCCAGGAGCCCGCGTAGCGCAGCTGTAGCAGGAACCTGGACAGTGTGTGCAGTGGATGTGTCTGGTAAACATGGGCTGGCTGCAGTGCCCTCCGCGGGTCTGCATGCCTATTGACCGGAAGCATGTCGTGAGATCTGATCGAGGAATTATTTCCAATCACTGTTTTCAACGTGCCACTCACGGTCTGAAAACTAGCATTTCATCTGTTTTGATTAAAGGAGTTACTATACCTTTTTTTCCTAACGTGTCCTTTTAAAAATGACACATGGCATTTTTATTATCATTTTTCTTTGTGACATCACTGAAATATCAGACAAATGTCTAACATTTACTACAGTCCTCAGTCCACTAAGGAAAGGTAACATAGTTTTAGTGTACTAACGTATCTTTGGTAACATATATAATGTATATGGCGCTAAAATACCATATGGCACTAATATAAGTTAAAATATGTTAACTTGTATAAATAATATATGTTAACACACACAGATGCTGATATATCTTGTCCAGGGTAGGACTGTTTAGCAGTTAATTAACTTCTGAGATGAGGACAAACCCCATTTCACTACAATATCAGCATCAATTAACAGACTCTCCCATTTCCATAGAGTCCTTCACTTATGAAGTTAGGGCATGTGGGAGTCAGACCAACTGATCTTTCATCCATGTGCCAAATCTTTGTTAATGATATGTACCAGCTTTTCATGGATCCCGGCCATCTGACTACCACGAGGGACTTACTGCTCAGGTGTACCATGCTGAAGGACCTCCTAAAACAGTCTTTCTCAACCATTTTACTCATTGCAGTCATCTGGGATATTTAATAAACACCTGCTGTCTGGCTCTCAACCCCCCCCCCCCCCCCCCCGTCAGTGTGATTCACTGCTGTCGGGTGTGAACTGGGAAGTGGGATTTGTAAACGCTCCCTAGGGTATTCTGACAAGTAGCAAAGTTTGGGAAGCACTGATCCTCATGGGAGAGTTGCTTGTGAATTGGAACTGGGATACACAATTGTTAGCTTTATGTTTATAGTGTCCCTGCTGCATGGGGAGCCTGTGTTTGCTTTTAAAATAATCCAACCCAAACCCAAACAAACAAACAAACACAAAAAAGTTCCGAAGGAAATAGCACAGATGTTCTTTGCTTCCTCAGTAAAGATGGCCTATGACCATGAACCCCAGCTGTAACCTGAAGCCAGTCATTGACCCATATTTATTGAGCAATAATCAAAGGGTGTTCATAGTCTTGCTCTAGGCCTCTGGGGCACATGTTAAAGGTTCGTGACATATAATCCATGATGCGTGGTAGGCAAACAGAAATCTGTAGGCAAATGAAGTATACCAGGTAGTAAAATCAAAGTGCTACCACAAGTTTGCAAGGATGAAGAGAATCTGAATGCATGTTGGTGGATTGCAGAGTCCTTGATACTAATTGAGGACTGTGTTTAGGAACAGGCTTCCTGGCTTTCAAGGACAGGAAAGTGTACTCTGACATTTAGAGAAAACTCAGCAGAGAAGGGAGGGATTTCCTCACCTTCTGCTTTTAGAGGGTGGTGGAAGCCACAAGGGCTTTCCCGAGGCAGTAGAGGCAGTAGAGGTTATGAGGGGCCGGGCCTTGGGTCTGCCATGGGCATTAGACTCCTTTACTCCCCTGGGCCTTGGAGACACCAGCGCCTCAGGGCTTCCGGAGGGCCCAGCATGCAAGCAGAGCTCCGAAGGCCAAGGAAGAGCCGTCCAGGTGCATGGAGTGGGGTGTCAGAAGGAAGGGTTTTGGTGGAGGAGCGTGGGGTTGAGGTGCGGATGTGGGAAGGATGCATGATGGATCATTGTTTAGCCTTCAGAAAAGAAATCCTGGCCTTTGCAACATTGATGGACCTTGAGGGCATTATGCTAAGTAAAATAAGCCAAAGTCAAATACTATACGGTATCACCACTCTGTAGAATCTAAAAAAATAAGAAGCAGCAGCCAATTTTCATCGAAACAGAGTAGAATGGTGGTTGCGAAAGACTGGAGGGAAAGTGGAAGGTATAGATCCAAGAGCACACATTCTCAGTTTTATAAAAAGAATGTGTTCAGCCCTGGCCAGTTGCTCAGTGGGTAGAGCAACAGCCCGAGGACCAGAGAGTTCCGAGTTCGGTTGCCAGTCAAGGGCATGTACCTCGGTTTTGGTTCCATCCCCAGCCCTGGTTGGGGTCGTGTGGGAGGCAACCAGTCGACGTGTTTCTCTCTCCCTCCCTCCCACTCTACCTGAAAATCAATGGAAAAATAATCTCCGGTGAGGATTAAAAACAACAACAAAACAAATAAGTTCAGAGGATCTAACAGACAGAATAACTGCAGTTAATAATACTGTATTGTATACTTGAAAGTCTCCGAGAGTTAGTCTTAAACGTTCTCACCACACGCACAAAGTAGAATTAACTGTGAGGTGTGAATTATTTTGATCTTGGAAATCATTTCATAATATATATATATGTATGAAAAATTATCACCTTCTAACTTTAAA